GACTGGGAGTAAAGGATTTTTATGAGATTGCAATGAACATCATTAACAACGATGATTATTATACTTTTGCCTAAAGGAGTGATAGTGCTAGTAGCATATTCTGTTTTTTTTTATATTAGTATTGAATAGCATTAAGTTGAATCTCATAATTATGATTTTGCTTTCTCTTCCAGGTTGGCACACATATTTCTGGATTGCTTTCATTCCTGTCATTGTAAGTATCATGATAAATTTGAATGGTTCTTTTCTGTGAACAATACCACATCACTACATTAATTCAGCCTTGATAACATGTCATGTCTTAATTTTGCTCAAGGGATATGAGAAATATTGAACGTTGCAAGATGTATGATTCTAATCCCATTAACATGATGTTATGACAGTTTTCGGCTGTATGGTTAGTACTTAGTAAGAATTTGATCTTAAAGGCATCCTTCTAATTCTGATTACAGTTACACTAGTGTGAATTGTCATTTTCAAATCTACTACCATCTTTTTCTTATAATGGATGCAATTGAATACGCTATTAGCAGGATAGGTAATTACTTCTCCATAGTAAACAACATAAGTTACTGCAGCAATTTTTTTATATTCATTATTTAAGTTTATACTTAATGCAGTAGTTTGTAAAAATTATTTTTCTGTTTTTTTTTTCCAATTAATATTTTACTTATAGAAGAGTGATGCATTTGAACAAGTGCTGCCCTTTCTATCAATTTTGTTTTCTTGGCATCAGCGTATGCATAGGCATATATATACACATATGAACTCTATGCATACAAGTATATCTTCCACTTCAGTTAATTTTGCTTTTGCTGGTTTTGATTCTTTAGCTTCTACTTGCTGTGGGAACTAAGCTGGAGCATGTGATAATTCAATTAGCTCATGAAGTAGCTGAAAAGCATTCTGCTATAGAAGGTGAATTAGTTGTTCAACCAAAAGATGATCTTTTTTGGTTTCATCGGCCCCACATTGTCCTCTTCTTGATTCACTTCATCCTTTTCCAAAATGCTTTTGAGATAGCATTTTTCTTTTGGATATGGGTAAGCATATTGGTTTAAAGCACAAATTTATGGTGATCTTTGCTAGCCTTTTTGTAAAAAATTGTTCCATAGTTCTAATCAATATAACCTTATTATTTGTGTATCTTAGGTTACGTATGGCTTTGACTCCTGTATAATGGGAAAAATCCGTTACATTGTTCCAAGGCTCGTTGTCGCCTGTCGGGTAACTACAACACTTTCTTAATCTTTCTCTTTTGTGTGATCCCCTTTTTCCTGAAACATTTGAATTTAATTAATAGGAATTGAGTCATATCAAATGAAAATTTTATGTCCAACTCTCTTTGTAAACCTAAACATTCTAACGAGAGAAATGTTAGTTATACATTAATTTTGTCCAACATTTTATTTTAAAAAAAAGAAATAGGAAGAATAAAGAAAAAAAGTGTGATAAGATGAATATGTGATAAAAATAAGATTGAGAGAAAAAATAGTGATAAAGAAAATACCATAAAAGAATATTGCATAAATTATGCAACTCTTTCTAATAAAGATCTACTTATTTAATCTCTATGAAGAGAAAGATAGAGGCAAAATTTTCAAATGACCATATCTATGAAGAGAAAGATACTGACAAAATTTTCAAATAACATGGCCATGTAAAATTCCACTCTAAGAGGTCCATCTCTCTCTAATCTTTTACTTCTTACATTTACAAGACTAAAATGCAACCAACTCCTTAATACTAACCACTTTCATTAATTTCTTTACATTGGCTTATTTCAACAGCATTCTAAATTACAATATTTTCTCTCTTTATCTCCTTTTTCTTAACCCTTTCTGTTGGGGTTGCAGGGTATTTATTCTGATATTATGTAGCTACAGTACCCTACCATTGTATGCAATCGTTACACAGGTGAGTTAGAGCTGCTTTTCAAAATAAAATGATGTCCAATTTTATCTTCTTCTTTTTCTTTTTTTTAAAATTAAGGTGTCTTTGCATTGACATTCATCATTTGTTACATATAATAATGTAGATGGGAACACACTTTAAGAAAGCAATATTTGATGAGCAAGTGCAAGCAAGAATTGTTGTTTGGGCACAAAAGGCAAAGAAAAAGGGATTAAGAGGTGAATCTGGCCAAGGAAGTTCTCATGCAAATGTTGGAATTCAGCTAGGAACAATGTTCAGAAAGGTTTCTGGCCCAGAAGACAATGTTATTGTCCCTAAAAATGATGGCTCCGAATGAGTGTGAACGGTGGCTAAGATCAAGACAAACACGCAAACGCAAACAATGTTTTACAACCATTATATTATATATATTTGTAAATGTTAATTTCCTTGGTATCAAATGAGCATAAAATGTTATTCTCACACTTTTTTTTATATTATTTATTTTTATTTCTCTTCGTTGTACTACTTATTTTATATTATATCAAATTTAGTCATTTTTATGAGAAAAAATTAAGTCTTATTCATAATTAAATATGAATTATTCATATTTTAAGATGCTTATCAATATAATTTAATGGTAATGGAGCAGTGGTGATAGGTTTTGCATTCAAATCCGTGTAATAAACTGGTTTGACTCGTTATTTTTTTTAAAATTAAGGTAAGAGAGCATTGAAATTTGAAAAGGCAGCTTATATTTGAATTAGATTATTAAGATGTATGGATGAGTGAATTACGAGTTGAATTTGTAAGACAAATTCGAAGAATATATAATGGAGATTCTTGGAATTTTTGTTTATTAAAACTAGCAAGAAAATAAAAGCACCCTGCTAGCTGGCCCATTAGAACTCAGAGTAAGTGACGCTTTGGCAGTTCAAAATACGTATGTCACCACTTGTGCTTTTCATGACGTGTCATTGTGTTCGGTCATCTTGAATTTAATTAGTTAAATTAAAATTATGATACTTGAGTATGTAATTTTTTAATATTATTTAGTTTTGGAAAATAAAATATTATTTTTAATTCATTCTTAATTGTAAGGATTTTCATAAAAAATATTTTTTTTATAAATCATTAAAAGTAAAGTAAAATATTTATTATATTATTATCTCGATTCTCAAGTTATCTCTTCGAGTAATAAAAAAGAAAAAAAAATTATTTGTTGAAATCAATTCAATTAGTTAAATTAAAACATTATTCTCCAATTTTATAAGCTTTATTTAATTTTAAAGATGATTTTTTACTTTTTATTTTATTTTTAATTACAAAAAATATTTTTAAATTTTTTCTAATATAGTCCATGTTAAGATTACTCTTTAAGTCAATTCAATCAATTAAATTAAAAAAAAATAATGTATGACTATGCAATTTTGTCTGATGCTATTTAGTTTGGAAAATATATTTGCTTTTAATTTTAATTATAAAAAATTATTTCATAATTATGAAGATTTGTATACAAAATCATAAAAAATTATTTTTTAACTTTTTATCAAGTTTATAAATTAAATTAAATCATTATTATTGCGCTAGTCTAAGTTAAAGTCACCTGTTTAAGCTAATTTAATTAGTTAAATTGAGAACATGACATGGGAGTATACAATTTTAAAAGTGCTATTTAGTTTGAAAGGTAATTTTTACTTTTATTTTTAATTACAAAAGAATTATTTTTATTTTATTTTTTAATTATAAAGATTTATATAAAAAATAAAAAATAAAAAATATTTTAAATTTTGTTATAAATTTAAAAAAAAAAAATTATTATGTCATTATATTTTAGTATATATATGAAGGTCGTCTCTTAAGTCAAGGAGTTAAATTAGGACACGACATATAAGTATCCAATTTTATAGCTATTGTTTAGTTGTGAAAAATATATATTTTTACTTTTATTTATATTTTTAATTACAAAAAATATTTTTTATTATAAAGATTTATACAAGAAATAATAAAATAAAAAATTAATATAAAAAGACATATATAACTGTCCAAATCCTGATTAAGAAAAAAGTAAGGGTAGAGAAGCAATTTCATCTATTGGCCTTACTTTGTCAAAAATCAAAAGTTATACTTTAAATTTGTTACATGGAAATTGTTTTATTGTAATTGGTTATTTTCAACACATGATTGGGGATATCACCCTCAATTTTGTGGGGATTTTTATTATAATTGTTGCGTAATTTATTTTGAAGCTACTAGAATACCTTTGATTTTGGTCTTTACTCTATACAGAACTAACACATCTATTTCTTAACATATAGTGTACAGATCAATTTATTGACTATTGAATTTGGGGCAACATGTTAGTTTTGAGTTTAGCCACACACACGTATACAATATTGATTGGCAAGGTTGGAATGCCTATATCATAATGTAATTTTTGTGCAAATTTGTAATTGAATGACTCATAATCAGACTTTCTGATTAAGATATGATTTCCTTTAGCTTTTGTTTTTTGCTCCCACTCTTTTCTTTTGAGTGGGCATGGTAGAATGCAGGCTATACTGACATTCTTCTTTTAAAATAGCTATGATGAGGTGCATTCTTTGCATCCTATTTATAAAATGACAAATTGCTAGAAAACCAAAAAAATAAAAAATAAATGCATAGACATGGCTACACTGTAAGTTTGTGCTACTATTTGCAATTTAGATGCCTTTCAACTTTCTAATAGAACCATCAAGATTCATTTTAACATGACCCATTTGCACTCACTAGTTGGCTTACCAGGTGTAAGTAACTAGGTCCAAAAGTATCATTGTGTTCAAGAATGCTAGGTGATTCAGGTTGCTACTAAGTTAATGATGTTTATGATGTTAATATAATGAATAAAGTCAGTACACCAAAATTGACGTAGATGATGTTCTTATTTAAAAACTTTTGCTTCTCTGCATCACCTCCTGTATGACCTTTTTGTCGTGAAACTAATGATATGCTGTACATTTCCATTTGTTAAACATATCCTTTGAATAAAATCTTTTTTAGCCCATAAAATCTTGTGTCGTAAATATTTTTAGCCCACAGATACAAAGCAAAAAAAATATTGCTTTGGCTAGAAATATATTAAGGCCTGGAAGTGATCAAGTACAAGGACAGGTCAATACTCCTAGGCACACACAGATCATGCGGTGACAAAAAAAATTAACCCAATGACTCAACCTGAACCAATCAGAAAATGGTCAGGTTGGTACTCTTCTAATTGTCAGGATAAAAAAAATTAGAAACAGAGCCAATCCAAACCAATTATTTTTTATTAGTTTGGGCATGTTTTTCTACTAAATCTTACTTGACCTGACAACTCCTAGGCACACACAGATCATGCCTAATTCATTTGGCTAATTCATTTCAATGTGCGTTCCGATGACAGCTGTGTTGATTCTAGTCATATATTTTGTATTATAATGTATGTATGAACTGAATTATATACTTATTCTCCTCTCATCTGTACCCGCAATGACTGTCTCATTCTGTTGCAATGAGGATGACAGAAAGAGGTTTTATACCATATATCAGTGTCAGCAGAAGATAATTGAAGGTTTGGCCAGGGTTGATGAGTGGAAGATAGCTTGTGCCCTGAGACAAAGATTTGCATCACTTAAATCTTAGATGCATAAAAGCTAAAATGTATAAAACTCAACATCAGTTGGAAAAGATGCAGGTTGATGTGCTAATACATCATTGTGAGCAGGTACATACCATTTGATCCTTTGTAAGTCCACCAGCTTTGTGATTAATGTAAATGCAGTTTCCATGTGTCGCAACCTTTGTCGTGTTATCACAATCTGTCTCATTAAAAACCACGTTATCATAATCTGTCAGCCAAAGAAAATAATATATTAAAAATTTCATTAATTGGCTACTCATCATTCTTGTGTTAAAACAGTTATACTCATTTTCATACTTTTCTATTCATATATTGAAAAGTGAATTATTTTAACTTTTTCTTAAATTTAAATTAAGAATGTTAAATTATAAATACTTTCAAAAATTAATCCAAAAAAACTAATATTCTTATAAATATTATATTTTTAAATGAGTTTATGTATTTTTCAAATACCAACAAGAGATAATATATTGATTGATTATTTTATAAGAAATTAAAATAGAAGAAAATCAGGTAAAATGCATCAAAATAGTTATCGTCAATAAAAAATTATATAAATAAGGGATAGGTGATTTAGAACGTTAAATATTTTGATTGGATTTTGACATAAGTATAATTAAAAAACAATGATCAATCATTTATCGTATAAAATGCTAAATATATTCTCATACAAGTTGAACATATGAATTAAAACAATTACCAATTAAACAAATATGTTACTCCTTTGCAAAAGAAATTAGATATTATTTTCACACAAATTTCTTTTATCTATTATCTTAAAAAACTATGAAATTATAGTATTTATCTTTGAAACAAATGAACAATAACTCAAGAACTAGTTAGAAGTATTTTATTAGCAAAGCAAATACAGTATACGACGTTTACGCTAAATAAATACGCATCAGAATCAGGTTAGTACCTTTATTATCATTAATCATGAAGAATTATTTGTGGGATGTGTGCGATTTGGCGACTAACAACACTTGTCTCTGTTCGGCATTCTTTAACTAAGAGGACACAGCACTCAACCTCAAAGATCTTTAAGTTGGTAAGACCACTCATTCCTTCGGGCAGCGATGCCAGTTTTGGGCAATTCCACAATATGATGTGTTGAAGCGACGAGAGGTTGCAAATCCAATCTGGCAGAGCCTTTAGGTTTTCACACCCACGTATGCTGATTTTTCGCAGAGGAGGAAGGCAGTTGGTGTCAAGCTTAAACCCAGCTTCAAATTCCTCAAGTGTTTCACTTTCACACCGTATAATTTCAAGAGACTCGACAGAAGTCAGATTTTGCATCCAACCCTTTGGTAAATTTATATGATCAGAAATCGCCAATTCTTTGAGCATGGAAAGAGGAGCAGCAGAGGAAGATGAGTCAGCTGAACGTGTTGACTCTGTTGTGTTCAGTGTTCCTATTAATGGTTCTGCACTGCATTTAAGCCATCCTAAATCCTTAGCGTTTGGAAAAGTTGGCATGCAAGTCAACAGTGGACAGTCTGAAACATTTAGTTGAGAAAGATGAGGAAATGAAAGAGAAGAGGAGAGATTATGTGAATCATTGATATCATCTCCCCGCCTCCGCCATCCCCTGAGCTTGGGACAACCTCTTAAGAAGAGGCTCTCCAAAGAGGGGAAGAAGGTTACTGCACCATCTTCGTAGAGATATATGTATTCCAATTCATAAAGAGAGTCCATCAGAAGTGACTTCAGGGACGGGAGACGTTCCAACGGTGGGAGACAGCCACAATTACGAAGACAAAAGAGACTAATTTCAACAACATTTGTGAGGAGAGAAAGCCAATCTGGGAAACGCATGCCTGGATAACCACCCACCTCCAATTGCTTAAGAGTACGGTGGGGCTCAAGGTTTTCTAATAATTTTAAACTGTCACTCTTACGGATGTCTCTATGCGACCAAATCAAAATCAAGGATTGAAGGAATCTTTTTTCTTTTAAATTTACATCATGTGATTCCAGAGCCACGTCTCTGACACGATCGAGATACTGAATTTTTAATTCTCCTCTCAGGTTTAAGTCTTTCAATTCATTTAATGTGCCATATCTTGTTTCTTGGCTGTCTCCCACAACAAAGATTGATAAGAATTGCAACCAGCACAACTTTCCCAACCCAACTGGCATCCCACTCAAGAAGCCATAATCAATGATGTCAAGATATCTTAAATGCTTCAATTCTCCAATTGAATCGGACAATCTGTAGAAGGAAAAAGATGACATCCTCAAGACACGTAAGTATTTGAACTTTGCAATAACCGACAAATATTCCTCCTCTTTCAATTCATACGGCAAAATCAAAGTTCGCAGTCTGGTCGGATCTAATGATTTCAACAAATGAATGGCCTCACAAGATTCCAATGATACGTGCATGGGTCTACCTTCAACTTTTTCTGCCTTACTATCCAAATAACAATAATCACCGCCGGCTACTAGCATTGCCAGATCATGCATTAAATCATGCATTTTGAAGCTAATGATCTCACCGTATTCACTATCCGCATCTTGAAAAAATGAGTTCACCAAAAACATCTTTACAAATTGATTACCGACATCTTCCATCTGCTGTTTTTCAGTTGAACATATAAGGTAACCCTGTGCCATCCATAACTGAATCAACCTATCCTTTTGAATTTTTGAATCCTTGGGGTATAAAGAGCAGTAAGCAAAACATTGTCTCATTTCTGGCGACAAGTTGTGGTAACTGAGTTTTAGAATTGGCATGATACTATCTTGCTCTTCACATAATTTCCAGAAGTCACCATGTAAAACATTCTCCCAATCACTTTCTTCGTTTTGTCCTCGTAACAGGCCTCCCAAGGTTTTAACTGCCAATGGAACCCCTTTACATTTTTTGGCTATTTCTTTCCCCATTGATTCTAGATTTTGATTCACTCCTTTGAAATCGTCCTCAAATGCAACGCTCTTCAACAAACTCCAAGATTCTTCATCAGTCAAACCTTCTAAAGGATAGGAAGTGCTAGCAGACGTTGCCTTTGCTACATTTTCACTTCGAGTTGTCACTAAAATCTTGCTGTCTTGAGCGCCACACATCAAGTACTTTCTCAATTCAACCCATTTGTCATGTTTCTCATTCCAAATGTCATCCAGTACCAACAAATATTTCTTACCACTTATTTTTTCATGAAGTTTTCTTTGCAAGTTGCCTAATGATAGTTCAACTTGGTCGCCCGTGATTGATTCTAATATTTTCTTCAGAATAGTTTTCACATCAAAGTTATCAGATACACACACCCACATTCGCATTTCAAATAAATTCTGCACTTCCAAGTCATTATACACCAACTGAGCAAGAGTTGTCTTACCCAAGCCACCGAGGCCAAGGATGGCAATCACAGAAACTTTTTGGTTTTCATTCGGATGTCTCAACAGACTAATAATCTCCCTTTTACTATCATCTCTCCCAATGATATCAGATTCTAACACGAAAGAACATGTTTCCCTCCATTCACTGTTAGTTTGCTTAACCAGCACAGAACTTGGGCTTAAATTCAATTTATCCATGTCTTCTACTACATCGTTAAAACTTTTTTGTATTTCTTTAATTTTGTCAGACATTTCACTGTACAAAGGAAATTGATTTGAAGATGAAATGGAAAGAAGTACCTTGTTTGCTTCTTTTCCTTCTGCTGCATCCCGTTTGTCTCTCCTAAACTCGATAGCAAGGTCATCTAAGAAGTCATCTGCAGCATGGAGTACTTCTCTGAAGTCAGATATCCAATTACGCACGCGAACTTGATCTTGTTTGTGGTCAGCATCAAGGAGCTCATCATTGATAGATCCAATTGTCTTCATAAGCGCTTCCAACTCATCCATCACACCATACTGCTGTCCAAATTCAAGAAAATCTGGGGAAGCTAGCCTGTGAACAAGATTTGATGAAACAGCAAATGGCACTGACTCAAACTTAGCCATGAGTTTAAGAGAACGATGAAGAAGGGTTGATACTGATATTGAAAGAGAGGAATGCAATCAATGTATAGAAACAGTGAGGAAAGAGCACAAATCTATATAATGAAATGAATACCGTAAATTAGGCCACTCATTGTTCACCCTTTTTCAAAAGTAAACCATAACTGCATCATATTCTTTTCCCTTTGTTACCAGTTTCAAAAGAGAGAGAAAAACTGTAGAAGGGTGTTTGACAGTGAGCTGCAACGTCTAAAAACAGTGTTATATGGACCCATAAATTAGGAAAGGTACACAAAAGCCGAAAAATGAAATGAATGATACAAAGTAGGCCAATTGTACCAATCTTAGTGCAGGCTGTTTTTCAACTTTCACCGATATTTCAAGAGTAAAATAACCATAAATCATACTCTCTTTGTTTTCTCTCTCTTTTGGACCCACAACATCTATTCATTTTTTAAAAATTAAAAGGTTAATTTAGGCAATTCACACTTTGCTAATTCTATATTTTTAAATTAGGATACTTTAAACGTGTTTAATCTAATAATTTTAAATTACTAAATAACTACTTTGTTTTATTAATTTTTTTATTTACTTTTAATAATTATGTAGCTTCGAGTTTCTTATTTTATCTGAAGATATGTAACAATAAAAATTAAACTATGGTGATAAAATTGTTGGATTCATGCAATTTAGCTTAAGTTAATATTTCTACATAAATAAATTCATAATTGTTTAAACAATGTTTATCTAGTAAATTATTTTTTTAATAACTTTTGTTTAAATGAGGTTAAAATGACTCAAATAAATTTTACATATATTATACTTACTAGATGTGACTTATGTGTAAGAAAATACAGAAAATATCTAAGGTGATATTAAACAATTTATTAATATAAAAGTAAATTTTTATTATGATACTCAACATTCTATTAATTTAAAATTTATTTTTTTATTATCAATTATAACTACGTCAATGCATATAAAAAAATTTATTTTTAAAATCATCATTTAAATACAAGATATAAATAAAATTTGTGTGAAAAAGATAAAATTGATTATCAATACAATCCTATAAATAAAATAAAATAAGTTTTAAAGGTACAAAGAGTAATTTTATAAATTTTTATGAAAAATTAAATCATAAATATAAGAAACCTGATATTATTAAATAAAAATAAAAGATCTAAACTGTTAATTTTCTAAAAAATATATTTAACCGTTTAAATAAGTGAACTTACTCATACACCACCTAATTACTTACTCATTTTTAAAAATCAAATAATTTCTTAATTTTTACTTACTCATTTTTTAAAAATCAAATAATTTCTTTATTTTTTTATTTTTTATTTTATTATTCTCTCTCCTCCCCCTAAAATATTTGGTATAAAAATTCTGTTAAAATTTTTTTAAAAAAAATTAAAATTGGAAATGATGAGTTTTGATATTTAGCATAAATATTTTTAAATTATGTTTTTTTTTAAGAAAACATCCTCATAAGAAAAGTAAAAATATAATATTGTCATAAAGACAAAAAATTGTAATATAAAAATATAATTATATCCTTTTAATATTTCCAAATTGTAATATAAAAATATAAATTAGGATACTTTAAATGTGTTAATCTAGTAATTTTAGACTATTAGATAACTATTTTATTTTGTTTTTGTTTTTTACCCATTTTTAAGAATTATGCAGCTCTAAATTTTTTATTGCATCTATCATATTAAAATTGCACAATCCCTATATAATTCGCTTAAGTTAAGTAAATTAATTTAGGTTAAGTTAATAATATTTTTGCTTAAGTGAATTCACGACTACTTAAGTGATATTTATTTAATGAGTTATTTTTTTCGCTAACTTTTCCTTAAATAAAGTTAAAATAACTTAAACAAATTTTACAGATATTATATTTTGTATATGCAAACTATGTGTAGGAGGACACCTAAAAGATCTAAAGTAGCATTAAACAATTTATGAATATAAAAGTTAATTTTTATGATTAATTAAAACTCTAAGTATAGATGCAAAGAACTCTAAAAATATGCAATGATACTTAACTTTCTATTAATTCAAAAATTATTTTTTAATTATAAATTAAAACTACAGCATGTAAAAAATTTATTCTTAAAATCATCACTTAAATACGAGATACATATAAAATTTGTATTAAAAAATAAAAATAATTATCAATATAATCCTATAAAAATAAAAAAAAAATAACAAGTTTTGAAAGTACAACGAGTAACTTTAAAAAATTTTACAAAAAATTAAATCATAAATATATGAAATTTGGTATTATTAAATAAAAGGTAAAAAAATATGAACGGTTAATTTTCTTAAAAAATATCTAATTATTTAAACATGTTAACTCACTTTGTACGTCACTTAATTACTTACTTGCATTTTTAAAAATTAAAATTTTTTTTAATTTTTTCACTTTTATTTTATTATTCTCTCTCCTCCTCCTTAAATATTTGGTATAAAAATTCTGTTAAATTTTTCAGAAAAATTAAAATTAGAAATGATGAGTTATCATATTTAGCATAAATATTTTTAAAAATTAACATTTTTAAAATATTTTTTTAATTATGCTTTTTAAGAAAATTTTCTCATAAGAAAAGTGAAAATATAAGATTTTGCTAAAGAAAAAAAATTATAATATAAAAATATAATTATACCCTTTCAATATTTCCAAATTTTAAAATAATTTATGTTATCTCTTCATAATGTCATCATCAATTATCACATATTAATAAACTTAGATAACAATCTAATAGTAGTAATTAATTAATTAATTATATATAAGCAATTATTTTTTATATATAATTCTTTTCACATACATTTTTATATTATAATTTCCTTATATCTTTTTAAATTTAAATTAATATTAATTTAGTTAAAGTATAAATAAAATATTTTAATTATATAGAGAGTAAAAAATATTTTAAAAAACATTAATATTTTCAAAATAAAATATTAAAATAAAACATAATATCTAAATAATTGAAAGAATTACTTTATAAAATATGTTGAAATAAAAAAATTATCGAAAAACTTAATTTGCATAAATTTAAAAATTGATTGCAGATATCAAACATCCTTTAAATCTTAAGCTTTAAAATATGCATATTTTTAAAAATTATTATTATTATTATTATTATTATTATTATTATTATTATTATTATTATATACTTGTTTCTTTTGCAATGCGAAAACGTGTTATCAAGTTTATATAATCAAATTTAGAAACTAAATCCTTTTAAATTAATAAAATAATTAGTTAACTATTTTAAAAAATCTACCCTCTTGTATAACATATAATAAATAACTTAATTATAGCTATTTATAAAATTATTATTATTATTATTGAAAACATAATATATATTTAATAATCAATTATTAATTATTATTTAAATTATCATAAGAAATTATTTAAAGTTCTAAAAATAATATTTAATAAAAAATGATAATGTTTTTTTATAAAAAAAATTAATTCATCTGTCAACTCTTTTAACAAGTAATGATTTTACATATACATACAAGCATAATAATTTATTGTGTGAAGCGTTAAGCTATAATCTTTTATTTTTATTTTCTTCATAAATAAAACAGCTTGTTTAAAATAAGTAAAATTTTAGTGTTTATGATTAATAGCTGTAAGTTTTTTTCACTTAATTTTTATTTTTTCTATTTTATCCTTAATAATTTATTGTTTTAAATATAAATATAACTATTCATATAATTTTATAATTTTTTTTGTGATTCACCCTAGATAAAATGTGACTATTTTTTACAATCTAAATAGAATAAATTATTTTAAAATCACTTTTTACTCATATCCAAACATAAAAATTTTTACTTATAAATATAATAAATTGTTAAATAATCTATATTTTCAGCCAAAAAAGTATACACTAATTCTATTACATGAGCCCACTATAGTTGTCTATATATTAGCCAAGCCGATGTTACAATAACAACTTATTTTTATTTGAATTTTCACCCATCTTATGCTTAATTAGATTTTGATGACTACTTTACAAGTTTGTTTCAGCTTTTTTTTAAAATAACTAATTAGACTTTTAGGTTATTTAAAAAAATAGCTCATTCCCAAACATATACACATTCATTAGCACCACAGGGGCTGCCAAAGACAATTAGATTAGTTGTACTTACTTGAGGAGTTGTTACTAAATCAAAGTTAGTGCATTAAACATTAAGACACAAAGAAAACATGTTTTGTCTGAACCTTTAGTATGGCCTCAGAATAGATTATACAAAAGAATGAAGAGCAAAAGCAAGAGCAATGTTCCCAATCCGAATTCAAATCCATCATAGTTATGGTTGGATATGCTCACATGACCATAAGATGACTTGCCAAAAAAGGGAAATGAAGAAGGCAAGTGAATGAATGCATATACTAATAGAACAAGAAGCACCAAGATTAAGGTTGTAAAACTTTTCTCATCAACTTCAGATACCCATTGAAATGAAGATAAGAACGTGTCAAAAATTGACAGAAGAGTAGGCCAGTATATGAGGAATCCCAAGCAAAGCAAGAATAGAGAAGGCATTAATGGTGACGGACCCCTTTCCATCATCTCACTATATTATTTCAATGTTCAAAGAAGTATTTGAATTTATAAGAGAATTGCATTGTGAGATGTTGTGTGGATAGGAATGACTTCAACTTTATTGGTTATTTTATTTTATGACATTTATCTGTCCAATTTGTTGAGCTATCCCAACGTCTCTTGCAGTAAATACCACTTTTAAATTCCTAATGTTTTCTCAGTTCACGATATAATATTGCTAACATAAAAAGGAAGCCATTTAAAAGTCTATGAAGTTGGATGCCAACCACAGCTTTTGCATCATCTCTATTTTTACATTAAAAAAAAGTATACAAAATGGTTTTTTTCTTCCAAACACATCACGAAAATGTCTTTGGACGATGATCCCTTGAAGTTATTCAGAAAAACATCAGTGATATTATACTTTAATCTAAACAAGTTTCTCTACAAAATACATGAAACAGTTTCTCTATTTTAATATTTAAAGATTGATACTATAAATGATATTTTATAGAGTTATATTTATATCTCACTTGTTCTTTTAATTTTTTAATATATACATACATCTTAAAAATAAACTCTTAAAAAAGATAGCTTTTGGTTTTCTTATTTAATTGTCAGTAAAATATTTTTTCTAAATGAAAAAAAAAAGTCTTCATTTTT